ACAATGTTACGAGCCTCTATCCAAAGTTCTTCAGGCACTCTGTCCACCAAATCTAGTTCCTTAAATCTGTTCTTCACTTCTACTGTGTATTCGTAAGGGATTTGGTTTAGATTATACCTGAGTGGCCCAGTGGTTGTTCCTACTCTCTTCAGTTTAAGCTTGAATTTTGCTATGAGAAGCTGATGATCAGAGCCACAATCAGCTCCAGGTCTTGTTTTTGCTGACTGTATAGAGCTTCTCAATCTTTGGCTGCAGAGAATATAGTCAATCTGATTTCGATGTTGCCCATCTGGTGATTTCCATGTGTAGAGTCGCCTCTTGTGTTGTTGGAAAAGGGTGTTTGTGATGACCAGCTTGTTCTCTTGACAAAACTCTATTAGCCTTTGCCCTGCTTCGTTTTGAACTCCAAGGCCAAACTTCCCTGTTGTTACCCTGTTGTTATCTCTTGACTCCCTACCTTAGCATTCCAGTCCCCCAGAATGAGAAGAACATCCTTCTTCTGTGTCAGTTCTAGAAGGTGTTGTAAATCTTCATAATCTTCATAGTCTTTGCTACCCCAAAACTCCCAGGTCTTCAACCCTGCGAGCCCTGGTTCCACTGACATTGTAATACAGCACATCAGAAAGGCCTTTTATTTGCCTCATGAAGAGTCAGTCCACTGTGCCATCCCAGCACAGCCGATTTTTACTCGCCATCCATTCTTTGTGGTCTTTCTCATACATTATTTCACCAGTTTCACTATGCATGATCATCTTATTTCTGGAAGGTCCAGTTATGGGGACCTCCTACCAAAATGGTATCTGGTCTGCCAGAGAACTACATCACTTCACCCCTAGGCAGAAGTTTTATTTTTATTTTTAGGACACTCCCCAACACCATGTTTCAAAAGCAGTTATTTGAAAATGTATAGGTTTCAAGACCAAATCTAATACATTTTTGGTCAAATTTCAAATGTGAAGAGAAGCTTATGTAATAATTACAGAAATGAGAAAGGACTGGGTACAGATCATTGGTGGCTTATGACTAGAGCAGGTAGGCGTCCCCCTGAAGTTCTGGGGTAACATGTCCCCCCCCCTCCACCTACAAGCCACCTACAGAATACAAAGACAAAGAGAAGCAACGTACACAATTCTCTTTCAAAGCCCTCATGCTAGGTCATTCAACGGCTGCTCTTCTTCCCACAGCTACAATCCTGACACAAGAAACTGCACCTGTAATACATCAGCCTTCCACTGGATTCTTTAATGAGACAAGGACCTCCCTCCCACAGTTTCAAATGAAGTCACTGTAATCTTGAGCTATAGAAAACTAGTTTGGCCTATTGGTATAGTTGTGTTGTCTCAAGGCAACCAGAAAAGGCCTGTCCATGTGCACTTGCAATTTACTTGGCCATGATGCAGAACCAGTACTTGAATGAAAGAGAAGTTTGGAGCAGATGAGATCGACCTCAATGTACTACTGTTTGTTACTTAAAACTCTTACAGTGATAGGAACAGCTGTGCAAACTATAGGCTCCAACTATGATTGTGGATTCAGCTGACTGCTACATGCAAGCCTAATTTGACATTCATGTGCATCTCCCTCAGGGGAATTAATCTAGCCCATAAACCCTACAGGATGGTATATAAAAGCATTGAGCCAGAAACCCATGGAAAATGCCCATTGACCACAGGCACTTAAGCTTTGTTAATGCCACTGGAGTTTTGCCAACAGAATTCCAGTCTGACACGCAAGGCCTTATCTTAGCATTCATTTCAAACAGATCAACAGAAAGAAAGAAAAGGGGGAGTCTTTACATTCTTTAGAGAGGTCTCTCCCTTCTTTCTCTACAACATTGGCTAACATTTTCTATCTCACTAGAGATGAAGTATTTGAATATACGGTACTTATCAAAACTGTTTTAGAGACAATACTTATAACTTGTTAATATCAATAGCAACGGACGCTTCATACAAACCATTCTGTCTTGATTCTATAAAGGAAATGATGCTACAAACTTCCTACCAATAACTCTATGAATCTTCCCTTTGGGAAGGTCAGTCTTGAGTGGATATATGACTTTTAGTAATTTCCAAACAGGTCTGAGTGACATTGTCATTAAAAGGGTAGAGGATCATCATCAGGAACTAGCAGACAGAAAGCATATGAAGGATCTAAAAACCTGCACTAAAAGGGCTGATACTGTCACATCATAAGAACAATTCACACTGAAAATAACTAATGGCAAATAAATCATTGTACGGTTGAAATATCAGGAGGTAACAATTACTAATGTGTTAAATGGTGAAGTTTACAGGTATACCAAATGATAATTTTTGTCTTATAAATGCTGAATGCATTCTGATAATCTTCCATAATTTATTTCAGTATTTGGAATTAAAGAACAGTGGCTTCAATCGTGACATGCATTAACCTATGGAACTTTACAGAAGGCATATTTCCCCTTCAGCTCCATGTTTTGCCTTAAAAGCCTCTGTTGAGAGTTGGTTACATTCTGAACAATAGGGGAATGGCGAATAGCAACTGATGGCTAAAAATCAGGCAGAACCCTGGTAAAAAAAAATCAAAAGAATGAAAATATAAATATTGAAATATAAATATTGTAAATTTTGGAAATAAGCCTAAGTGTCACTTCCAGAAAGGAATATGCTCATGCATGAGGATTAAGTATCAGAGAACAAGGTTTTATGGAAAAGTCCAGATGTTTAAATGAAGTGAAATACAGTGGATAAACTAGACAAAAAGTTGCTAAGATCAGCCTTTTAAAACTGAAAATAGCAGCAAAATTATTGTATTGCTAATCACTTTCCTTGTGTAAGGGTCCTAATTTGTCATATTCTGTAATTTATTTTATGTAATGGGAAATCAATTTGGTAGTATTTTTAAATAATATATATATATTGAAATAAATGTTATCTTTGAAAAATATTCTCGTCAGGTGTTCTCTAAAAAATAGCTTTTTCTAAGCCCTTGGTCTGATTTGCAAAATAGGTTACAGGCCTGAAATCTAATCTGCTGGAGACCTCATTCATAAAATAGGTTTCTAGGCCACTGAATGGGTGATGTGCTATCCTGTTGGTTTTAAAAAAAAAGCACCAACCTACCCCGAAGGCAATGTAAGCTCTTTTAGTTTTACCCAATCTGCTGCCTTCTACATGTGCTGGACTACAACTCCCAGAATCCCTGGATCCCATCTGGAGAGGAACAGGATGGAGAAAACTAATCTATTTCAAGTTGTTCCACATTTAGGGTAGATTAAGATTATTGCTGTTCCTAAATCTAATCAGGGATTCAAATGGACAAAAATTAGCAGAGGAAAGAGTTTAAATGGAAATAATATTCACAGCTGATTAAAATATATTACAAACTGTCAGAGGAAATATAAACACTTAAAAGAAAGAAAGAAACTGAGTGAGGAAATAGAAACACTTCAATTGATCACAAGGCGTTTTTACATTCTAGTCTGCTCTTCTATGGAATACAAACCTGTCAGACTTTTTCATTGTCTTTTCGAAAGAGGGAGTAGAGTCCACTAATTATGTGGCCCAGAAATCCAGGGTTACTTTTCAAGTTCTTCTCTAGCTGTGCAGCCAAGGACCCAGCATAGTGAGGGGTTTCAGACACTAACAGTTGGTTGTCAAGCAACTGCTAAGTGTAGGAAGGCAAAATGTTGCTGGTATTCCTCCTTCTTGGTCTATCCTTCATTCTTTTGTCTCACTTTTCACAGTTTTGTCAAACTCATTTCATAATCTCTCTCTCTCTCTCTCTCTCTCTCTTTTTCTCCTCAGTTGTCTCAGAACCAGAGTCTGGAAGTAACTCACACTAAATAACAAGCTACCTATAACAGATTCCTTTTCTTTTTTGGGGGAAAGAGGAGCTAATTATATTACTTTTACATTATATTGTAATAAGCTGTAGCACTGTCATGTTTTTCTCAGTGTCGTATGCTTTCTGATTACTTTAAACCATTTTTAGGGGGATCTTTCCTGGTTGATTTGGGGAAATTGGGGGCCATTTTACAGAGTTAAAAAGCAACCACTCTAATCTCCCAAAAACAACATAGTAGCTAGCAATCACAATGAGTTCCTTTTAAAAAGTAACAACTATCAACTCCTTTTTAAAAAGTAATGTTCCAAGTTCAGAACCTGTTCCCCCCCCATTCATTTTAAGAATTAAGATTCCAAGCTCTGCTCAAAACATGTCTTCTTTCTCAGGACCAACTTTTCTACCCTGTATAGCACACTAAAAACATTGCACTGTAAGTAAATACACATCAGCAGAAGACTGCACTGAACAGAATTACACAAGTACTGAATCACATTGTTAGCTCTGTTCAGGCTTCATTCATCTTGCTCAGGCCTACCTGGTATTATTTTCATCAAGAAGAAGGTGATGAGTCTGAAGAGAGGAGGTTCCTGTTCACATGGAGGCTCTTCACATGAGCAAAAACCTGCTTTTCTAGTGTGTTGTCCATGGTCAGAATTTCTCCTCTTCAGAAATCTCTTTTCTTTTGACCGATCACTTTCCACATGAAAAAAACCCTGATGGTTGGGCAGGGATCGGCAATCCTCTGCTCATATGATGGATGAAGCATAGGGAATCATTATAGGTGACTATAGCAGATCAGTGTTTCAGAAATGCTAATGTCATATCTAGCTCGAACCATGAGTACCCTATTCAGAAATGGCGACAGAACTGCAGGACATAATTACATAGGAAGAGGAGAAAATCATACTTAAGCATTCCGGAACGCTTACCGATTTGTATGAGAATTGCAATGCATGAACCAACTGCGATTGTTGTCAACGTACATTGCCCATGCCTTGTCATCCTTGCCGAGCATCATGTCCTTGACCACATTAATTCTCGCAATCCCAAAGGCTGGATCTGGATGGTTATCATAACGATCTACATGCAGTTCCCAATAGTGGACTCCCTTTGAGAAAGCTGCTGTGCCGAGAACAACACGGTCATCGTAGCTACTGCAGGTAGCTGTCTGGTTGTCATTCGAAAGGACAATGTCCCTATGGGCTGAACAGGGATCAAATGTAAACCAAGCCACTAGAGAGAAAGAAAGAAAAAGAGGGAGGGAGAGAGGGAAAGAAATCTGCAAGTTAGAAAGATGATTTATCATGCTCCATTCTAAGAAAACTAGCTGGATCAAGAGGTGATGATGACAGAAGGAAGGCAGGATATGAAGATGAAAAAACAAAATTATTTAAATTCCAGTGTCTGCTGAGAACTCAAGAGCTAAGCATATTGTCTTAAGGATTCATAGCATTTAAGAACCAGTACAGACCACCTATCTATCCCAATTGCACCAAAACATAACTTGGTCATCTTATGCATTCAAGAAAGAAGAAAAATATTACCATACATCTACCGTCAATGTGTGGTTAAATGGTTCTAAAATGTATGGCCAAACAACTGCTTGTACGGGTTCACTGATTTAAAACATGATGATGATTAACCTCTGAGCTTTGTGACCATTATATAGATGCCATAACTCCTTTTTTAAATATTTTCTTCCTAATATCTAGTAATAAAAGTATCACGTAACATCATAATCCCGCATGTTCCCTTGTCCTTTGTATAACTTGGTGCTCCTTTCCAGGCTGGGCCAAGAAATCCACTTGTCTGAGTCATGGGGCAGGATGCCACCCTTTCTCTTACCTCATTATTCAGAAGTCAACTAGACTGGCAGTTTAATCTTATGTTGACAAAGAGAGTGGGTACAGAATACACAATAGCTGTACTTTGTAAAGCACATATAACTCTATATTCTCTCCACCATCTCACCAACAATCCTTACACCTAGCACCAGCTGCCTAAGATGGCTGTTTCATCTCACCTCATGGTAGGGTGGAGTGTGCAGATATTTGCCATGTGAGGCTTAAATTTTATATCACAAGGCATTACCATGTCAAACAGGAGGTGAGGCTTCTGTGTTTTTACAGCCTCCGTGGCCTGCTGGAATATTTAAATTCTGGCCTCAGCAACTAGATTTTTAGAATAATGAGGAACTTCAAAGTTGTGCTACATAAATAATACAATTACTAGGTCCCAGAGAAACCTTGTTATCTTGTATAGTCCCAAGATGTTCATACTGGAAATTAAATTACAAATTATTCTTTAACTCAAACATGTATATTTTTGGAAAGTTTTTTAGTTTATTAGAGACCAGGTTTATTACAAATCAGTACCATTCTCTGCAGGCTTTTAAAGAAAGAATCTTTGGTAAAAAGTGGCTTTTTTCCTGGCATAGTTTAGCGACATTAATAAGAAGGAGAGAATGAGATTAACATGTGTTTTATGATTCATGAAAGTTAAGTATCATTAATCAAGATTAATTTCTTTGGTTGCCCTTATGGATAGCAAGTGTAATTACATGGAACCGAGGCATGAATTAACATCCATATTTTATAAGACACAGCTAGGAAATTATTTCCATCAAAGAAGGAATGTAATTAAACTCTGAAATTCAAAGCTGGTTCAAAATGGAGGAGGGAGCACAATGCAAAACCAATGAAGCTCTTCCACCATTGACCCACTTAAGTTGCTGATTTTGGCTCTGCTTTAAAAGCACATGGAACATGTCTCAGAGGGCATTTCATTCTTTGTACACATTCAATCCTTAACCTTGTTTCAGGAAGAATAAAAATCCACATGCCTGTATTGTGCTAAAAATAGTCCTGTCAAGCTTGAAGTCACCATGAGAAAGGAACACGATCTTCCCTTAGTACTGGCCTGGTCTTTGGGAGGCAGTCTTACATTTTTTTAGATACTGGTTTTGCAGTATATTGTTTATAATCTTCACTTTGCATCATTTTGTTCATTTTTCTGGGATCACAAAACCTACATTTTTGAAGTTTTGTTTCTTTTCGTCTCTTCGTTTTGGTTTTCTTTTTCTTTTTTTGGTATCTTGTGGCTTTTTGTATGTTAAAAAACTTAATAAAATTTATTAAAAAAAAAAAAGAAAGGAACACGATCTTCCCTTGGTACTGACCTGGTCTTTGGGAGGCAGTCTTACATTTTTTTAGATACTGGTTTTGCAGTATATTGTTTATAATCTTCACTTTGCATCATTTTGTTCATTTTTCTGGGATCACAAAACCTACATTTTTGAAGTTTTGTTTGACATGTTGCTAAATCTCAAAAGTCTACAACATGGATTCATTTAATCTCACAAGGTTCTTCTCTGTATTGGAAGCCATCCAGTGGTGCTTCTGGAGTGGAAAGGTCAGCCTCCCGGAGGAATGTGAGGACTGAGAATTTCACAAGCAAAAATATGGATTTTGTTTTTTAAAAAATACCACAGGGATTTTCTACCCATGTTGTTTTCTCACCTTGTATACATAAAACCTCACCTTCTTTATGCCAAGAACATTTTTGTAATTCTTAAAACCAATAAAACTCCTAAATATTCAAAGGAGTTTATCTTTATTGTTATGATTATTAAATAATTAATTATTCAGATAAAACTCCTTTGAATATTTAGGAGTTTTATGCTGAAGTTTTGAATTTCTGATAAACTTCCTTTTTACTATGCAGTAGAAGTACAGAGATGAGAGGCTGCAAACAGAAATTCCACCATTTGATTGGTTTGAAAATTTAACCCAAACAAGAAGAAGCTTGTGAGATTAGTTGTTTAAGCTTCAAGGTTTTGACATTTAGAAACACACACACAAATGCACACAAACACATGTATATGTGTATGTAAATGTAAGAATGGGTCATGCCTTTTATTGGTCCACTAAAAAATTAAACTGAACATTTTTGTGGACAAAATTTCACTTCATCAGGCTGAACACAACCCTTATGCTTAAAACATAACATTTCTTTTTGGCTGTGGGGGTGGGGGAAATGACATGTATCTATGTATGTATGTGCGTGCGTGCGTGCGTGCATAGGTAGGTAGGGAGGTAGGTAGGGAGGTAGGTAGGGAGGTAGGTAGGGAGGTAGGTAGGGAGGTAGGTAGGGAGGTAGGTAGGGAGGTAGGTAGGGAGGTAGGTAGGGAGGTAGGTAGGGAGGTAGGTAGGGAGGTAGGTAGGGAGGTAGGTAGGGAGGTAGGTAGGGAGGTAGGTAGGGAGGTAGGTAGGTAGGTAGGTAGGTCAGATTATAGTTGCTGACAGTAGCTTCAAGCCATGCCCAGGTTGGCCCATTCCTGGGGTTAGGTTCCTGCTTCATGTGGCAAAGCAGGAAGGATGAAAAATTCCTTACCACAACCACTGAGGATGCTCAAACAGATACCACACACCCCCAAAGCCCCAACAGTGCTACTTTTCCACTGTAGAAAAGCTTGTAACTCCCAGAATCCCAGAGCCTGTGGGGTGGGTGGGTAGGGGGTTTAAAAATACCCAATGTGGTGTTGTTGTTTGAGTGACAGACTAGGACTCTGGAGACCAAGGTTCAATTCCCCACTCAACCACAAAAACAGATTGTGGGAGTGCAATTCGTAAAACCTCTCCTTAAATATCTTCTTTACCTTGAAAGATCTGTTATGGCTGCCTTAAGTCAGTTCTGACTTGACAGCACATAACAACCACAGACTTTAAAAATAAACTTTTCCAGGTTGTGAAGGCACATCAAGGCCTTTTGATTAGCTTGGCTATCATTTTGAAACCATTATTCATCCCAAAGTCCAGCAGAGTAGAGAATGCTCACTGCATTCCAGATATAGTGACATTTCTCAACGGAGTGAAGGCACATCAAGGCCTTTTGATTAGCCTGGCTATCATTCTGAAACCATTATTCATCCCAAAGTCCTGCAGAGTAGAGAATGCTCAATGCATTCCAGATATAGTGACATTTCTCAAAGGATAATTTATTTTATTTATTAAATTTGTCTGCCATTTAGACAATGTCTGCTCTGGGCGGCTCGCAATAAAATAGACTAAAAACAATCAAATAGTATCAAACAACAATTTAACAAGGAATGTCATTCAAGATGGAAAAGATAAAAAATCAGATAGTGACCGGAGGGAAAGCCTGCCTAAATAGCCAGGTCTTGAGTTGGCTTTTAAAAATACCCAGCAAAGGGGCCAAACGAATCTTGGAAGGGAGACTATTCCAAAGGCGGGGGGCCACTGCCAAGAAGGTCCAGTTTCTTGTTTCTTCTTTCTAAGCCACTGCCAAGAAGGTCCAGTTTCTTGTTTCTTCTTTCTGGGCCTCCCTTGGTGTTAGGCCCCTCAGCCACTCCTCCTGGCTAGAGCAAGTGATTCGAGTATATCTAGATGGGAGGAGGTGTTCCACCAGGTATCGAGGTCCTACACCATTTAGGGCTTTATATGTAATCATTAACACTTTGAAATCAATGCGGAAACGAATGGGCAGCCAATAGAAGGCAGTCAGAGTGGGGGAAATATGCATATTTTTACATATTGTTAAAAGTCACTCACCATCAGACGTTTGTAGAACAACTGTCTTGCTGTAAGGGCCCACTCCTGATGAATTAAAGGCTTTGACTCTTGCATTGTAAGTACTGTTGAAATGAAGGCCATCAATAGTGCAAAGAGTCTCCTTACCAACATACACTTCCTAAACAGGAAAAAAAAGGCAGGAACAGAGTTCATTTGGTTCTTTTTAACCTGGCATAGCCAGACTCTTAAATGGAAACAGCATGCAAATTTTCTTGTTGTACAAACACAGTAAAATTCATAAACATGAAATCCATGTAATGAGTATTTACAGTTGAAATAATAAGGAATAGAAATAAGTCTTTAAAAGGTATCCCTTCTTTCCCTTCGTGTCCCCCTACCCCCAGAAAGACAATTTCATTGTTATCTATCTGGAAACTACACAGAACCTTAAAAGTTAGCTATATAGAAGGGGCCTAAACGAAAGGACTAAGAAACTTCAGCATGAAAACATTTATATACTGTATAGCCAAATCATGGGCCTTGTGAAAGCCCCATGATAATTGTGTTCATAACATTTACAGTCCATTACTGAATTCTCTCTTAACATGGCAAGCAATGCGAGGGTTTGCCTAGGCCTGCCAAACACAAATTAGTGGGGAACAAGCATCTCACTCGGAATTGGCCGCCATCTCCGTCATCCAGTTCTAGGATGTAACCTTCCACTGGGTTGTGGCTGAAAGGTGGCATCCTCCAGGCTAGGGTCACGCTGTTGTTTCGGGTGCAGCACTTCTCTAGCTGGAGTAGAGGGACTGGTGGCACTGAAACAGGAACTAAGCAGAGATTAGTGCAACTCTGCCCTTACCCATCCGGCTGTTCATGCAACAAGAAGCGCAACATTCAACGCGGTGTAGCCCAAAAAGGGCACCCGGATTTCTCTTTCCACTTAATTCTCAACACATCATCTGTAGAGCAGTGGCCCTGAAGTCAACAGTGCTACAGCCAGTTCACACAACTTTCTTTTTCTTTCTTGATTCTGGTGAAAGCCCCTATCTAGGAAAATGCTGAGCAATTACTCTTCAGTAAATCTTCATTCGTTCAGTGTGCATATGTTTAGCAAGAAACTAACATTTAATATGTGTTTAATTGTGCTCATTGACCATACACAGCTGAGATAAGCCTGAACAAACAAACAAAAAAACAAATTGTTAGTTAACTTTATCATTTACTTTCATTTCCTGCCTTCCCCTCAATAAGCTCAAGGCAGACTATATAAGTCTCTTCCTTCTTCACTATTGGTGAAAGATAGTGAATGGCCCACAGTCACCAAGGAGGTTTTATGGCTCAGTGAAACTAAAATCCAGATCTCTCGCATCCCAGTCCAACATTTAAGTCAGGTGGGGCAGTTCCAGAGGCCCATCCCAGAACATGTTGGGTCAATGTGCTTCCACAAGCCTTCTTATTTTTTAAGCTTCTTTTTCTAAACAAAAAAGTTTCATCATATCTTCTAGCACTAATTTTTTAAGTGGCAGGAGCAGAGATGCAGGAGGCAAAATTGGCAAAATTGGCCCTCATAAAGTACACAAGGGGACTTTTTGAGCAAAAATGCCAAAAAAAAATTTTTTTAATTTGATGTGGTAAGGCTGGGAATGCCATGACATGGGGAACAATGTGCAGCCCTCAGACCACACTTTGTTCACCCTGACTGATTTTACTCATTTTACAACTATCTAATGTCACATTTGATCTTCAAGGACTAGACGAAATATAAAATTTAAGGTCATTCCCCTTTTAAATCTGAAGTAATTGTGTGTGCCTCGATCCAGAGCTTAGGGGAGGGTCTTCTTACAAGTAGTCTTATTTCACAGTCACTCAGAGCAAACAAGAGATTGCTGCTAAATATCACAGAACAAATTTAATGCAGCAGATCACTTCAGCCATAAGAGCATGGTCCCTACTGGTTGCCTGAAAGACAAAAGTCACTTTGGCTGTTATTGTGGAGGACGGCATTTCCATGGGACAATCAGTATAATGTAACACATTGTCACGATCTTCCTCTGGATTAAAAGAAATGCCACTATAAATGTGATTCATGTATCTCTAGACAAAATTATCCCTGTCTTTAGCATTAAGAATGAAAAAAATAAAATCCGAATAAGGTTACTGATCTCTTTCTAGACTTTCCCTGCCCGAATATTGTGGGTGAAATCTGCCTTTGTGTGGAAATGACGATGGCTGCTGAGAAGCGATAATGTGTGCATCATAGAGATCTCAGTACTTTTGTTTACTTGGAGAATAATGTGAGCCATGCCATTATAAACATTCCAATGTGGAAATCAATGTCTAATTAGGTACTGGTGTTGCCAAGCTCAGTTAAGTATTGATACCATTCTCTGATTAGAGTCAAGTAACCATAAAACCTTGAACTAGATTGTAAAATTTCCAAAGGATTTGCTGAATCTGGGCTACCTCTGTGACTGATGCTTTAATGTTTCTTTGGTGTGATGAGTCACTCAAAATCATTCTAGAGGCAGGGTGAATGGAATGCTTTAGGCTCACAGGAAGCTGGGCGCTAGTGCAAGATCTATGTGGAAAGTAACTGGTAGCCCTTTCCAATGTTTCAGAGAATACATTTGGAAATTCAAGTTGCCATTTCTATTCCCTCTCTGCAGACAGACCCCTAGTACACTGGTGCCCAAGGATTTAAGCTCTTCCCAGGAGGCATTTACAGTCCTCTTGAGCAGTCATAGAGTGTAACCTCTGTCTATAGATCAGACATCCAAAGCAGACCTCTGTTTCACAGTGTCCAAGGATCTGAACAGCCTTTTTTCTGGTGTTACAGATGCAACATTTTAAACTCTTTAACTTAGGCAATTGGTACTGGCAAACCTAAGGGAATATATTTTTAGCTATAATAGATAGGCTGGCCTCACAGACATATTCCATTTAAATAATTTATTTCTACAGCTGCAGTCATCTCTGCATGCTGACTTCTCACAATATGTTTTGAATGTAATTAGGGATGGAAGTGCTTCCTTTTCTTCTGGCCTCATAATAGAGGAGAAAGTGCAAGGCTTTTCCCTTTCTTGTTCATTTGTAACACTGATATTTGTGCATTTCTGTAAATCACAAAATTTGCTGTGTTGGACTATTAAAAAGGACTGGATGGGTTGTTTGTATCCTTGCAGACAGTCATCTGGTCCTTTTGTGCTTTTGCTTCTCTTTTTCTCTCCATGCACGTATGTACTTTGCTTCTCATAAGGAGAAGACACTAGGGGCCTTTTTTTTCTTTGCAAATTTTGCAAAAAACAATGGGGAAAAACATTTGACGTCTTGTTGAGTTCTCACCAGCAGTGAGAACTCTTGTGTGGGCGGGATAATTTTTAATATGCTGTCCCATTGCAATGGCCTATCTCAGCTAAGAAATGAGAAACAGGTAACTTTTCCATATGCTTAGAATACAGTGCAACACTTGCTTCTTTTGCTCAGGGAATGTTTCCAATTTATGCATGAGATGGGGCAGAGTACTTTTCTCTCAAGGTCTTTGCTGCCTGGAGTTGCCCTTTGACTGAAAACCTGTCTTTAAAGGATTTCCCTCCCTCCAAAAAAAATCCTGTGTCTCAGCATACCTAAGACAGCATTCACTTTGTCTGTACTGTCTCTCCCATCTTTCAACATGCTTGTGAATTACTTGGCTTACATGATCCCATACATGAAGGTACAAATTCTCTTAATTTGCTCATGTCATAATCCTTGATCTCTTAGAATGCATCAGTGTCATTGAGTTGTACATGGTAAATATTTTGGTTGTTGCCAAGAGGTTGCTTTGCCTTCTAGCTGTTATTGCCTTCAAAAAACAAGTCATATTTGGTTCACAGAGACTATAGTGCTGGGTTGCTCCACCTTTAAGTCTATCCATGGAGTGATCATGGACAAGCAGTACATCCTAGAGGTCACCACATTCAGAAAATTCAGCAGGGTGATGAAAATCTGAGCAGAAGGGCACCTCAGCCCCAAATTTTCAGGGTAAGCCCTGTCCCCTTGCTTGGGCTACAGCTGCATATAAGTTTCTCCGTGGATAGTGTCACTCTGAAATGCAGCAGAACTATCTTTAGGAGAGTGTACAGTTGCAGAAAATGGGGCAAGGATCTTACTGCTTTGTTACATTCCTTTTGTGACATCCGGCTATCAGCTATCAAAATGTCTCCAAAGTGAGAACAGATCCTTTTGCAAAAAATGCACACTGAGAGGTTGTATTAGATGCATTTTAAAATCTTAAATTGTTTTCAATTCCATTTTCTTTTCTAATGCTTACATTTCAGTGCAGCAGTTTACTGATCCTTTTTCCCCACTAGCTTCACTAATATAACGACTGTTTAGGTTAAGCCACACAATACCCTTTTGGGGAGTAGATTTTTGCCTTTAACTACCTATCTAAATTCAAGCACTTTCTGCTGTTCCTCTGAGGATTTAGCTGTCAAATTGGCTGGCCTAATTGCTTAAGATTGAGCCTTTAGAGTTCAGAATTAAGCGTGCTGAAATCGAATGAACTTTGACTGAACAGGACTCATCATTTATGCACACATCTTGTGGAGATGAATAGCAAAGGCGGTTCTCTGTGAGCCCTGCAATTCTTTTCCAGCAGAGGTCTTGTTGACTGAAACACAGAGCCTTCTGTATTTTATCAAAGGAAATTCATCCTCTGCACTCTGTCAGTTCTGTTTATTTTGTTTCCCTTTGTTCCTGTGCTTATCTCTGAGCACTCTCAGTATCCAGAGTCAAAAAAGCAGTTCAAAGAATGATCAAGATATAGGAAATGGAAGGGCGAGCAGGCCTAAAGATCTATTTCTGCATATAAATCTGTGCCCAAGTAGGAGCTCCTGCCTGGGATTCCAAGCAGCAAGATTATGAGAGCAATGCTTCCCACAATATTTGTCCAACATGGATTTATTGTGCTATAAAGCACTATGTTGCATCAAGGGGCAAATTGCACGTTTAAACCCACTTCCTTTCTTTTTTTGCTAATTTAACCTAATATAAATGCTGATAAAATTAAAAACATTGGCTCTGATACTTGAGTGCTTTAAAGATTGTTCACAGAATCTTATCTTGTTTTGTTTTTTCCCTTGGAAGTTAAAGTTCTTTGACCATGTGGCATAAGTGGTCAGCTTCCAACAAATGTAACAATGTCACCTAGATCTACCCGAATCACTCATTCTAGCCAGGAAGGGCGGCTGAGGGGCCTAATGCTGAGGGAGGCCTGGAGAGAAAGAACAAGAAACCGGGCCTTCTTGGCAGTGGCCCCTCACCTTTGGAACAGTCTGCCCCCAGAGATCTGCCTGGCTCCCTCGTTGGGTGTTTTCAAGAGCAAATGTAAGACCTGGCTCTTCAGGCAGGCTTTCCCTCTTGTCATCACTTGAATATTTTTCCCATCTTGAGCTATATTACTACTGTTGTTTTTTATGTTATTATATTGTTTTTGTTTTATATATTATTGTTAGCCACCCAGAGTAGACTTCAATCTAGATGGGTGGGGTATTAAGTAAGCAAGTAAGCAAGTAAGCAAGTAAGCAAGTAAGCAAGGAAGGAAGGAAGGAAGGAAGGAAGGAAGGAAGGAAACAAACAAAGAAACAAACAAAAAACAAACAAACAAACAAACAAACCATGCTACAGCAAACACTGGTTAACAATAATTGTTATTTGCCATTTGGCAGTCAAACTTCAGAACTTGAAAATTTAACTTTTGGGGAGCACAATTGACAAAACCACGCAATCATCATGACCACTGGAAGCTTTAGTTTTTAAAAATATAACTCTTCCGAGTTCTGTCAAACACTATCAAAAGCCAAGATACCTTGGTGACAATATTGCTGAATAACAAACACTATTCCACGTTAGCTATCTGTGCAAGTACTTATACCAGCCTATGATCACTGTCCACAGTGTCCAGGGCTAAATATCACTGAACATCAGGTTGCAACTTCTTAGCTGTCAAATGCTGTCATATAAAAACTCCTGAAGTCAAATACTAAGTAAAATATCAAATATTGAAGTCAACTATTGTTAGATGTGAAATTCTAATATAAAGTATAAAAATATTCAAAGATTTAAAATACGTATTAGGGAATATTCAATACCAAAACATATACAGAATATATTTCAGGAAACACATTCTTTTTTATTGCTAGATCTATATGATGTATCATTCTACTATACATTGTAGTATTTGGTGATGGTCCCCAATGTAGAGTCAAATTAGCATTAGAAGGGATGTGTATTCCCTGCAATTAGCTTACTTTACTTCTCACAACACATTTTCCTCAGGGTTATGTGACTGGGTTGAGTCATTAAGGAAGCCTCTGCCTTTAATGTGCCTTTGGAGATCTCTGATTCATATGGTCACCCTAAATTGGAAACAACTTCAAGGCCATAACAACAGTGTGTGGGCAATCAGCAATGCAAATTAAATGCGTGTTTATCTTCCAGTACCAGTCACAAAACACATCACACTGGAATGCAAATTACACAGGAAAAAAAGAGCATGCATTGTGACAAACAGACAATTTTTGCAACTTGAGGGAGTACCATATCCAAGGTAAGCATATACTTTAGCTTGACCCTTAGGCAACTTTGAAAAGGATTACAAAAATTCATGTGAAATAATTCCGTTAATGGATATTAATTAGAATAATGTATAAAACTCATAGATTATGGTGAAATATACTTTTGAGTTCCATTTCTGGTGAGCTGATGGTGAGGAACCATGGGTGAGGAGAGCCATGAGGTGCTATTGCACTCATATTCTACTTATGGACTTCCCATAGTCATTTTTCTGGTCACTATGAAAAACAGAATGCTGGATTTGATGGGTCTTTGATTTAGTAGGACTTCTCTTACGTTCTTTAAGAATGATGCAACTTAAAAACATGGGCAAATACAATAGTCTATATTGGTAATTAAGTTTGAAATGCTGCTGATCTGCTATACAGTCGTGCCCCGCTTAACGATTACACCACATTACGATGAATCTGCTTCACGACGATGTTTTTGCAATTACAATTGTGATCGCAAAACGATGTTTTAAATGTGTTTTTTTTTTTCGCATTGCGAAGATCAGTTCCCTGCTTTGGGAACTGATTCTTTGCATTACGACGATCAAAACAGCTGATTGTTTTCAAAATGGCCTCCGGGTGCTCAAAATGGCTCCCCACTGTGCTTAGGGACGGATTCCTCGTTATACAGGCACCAAAAATGGCTGCCGAATGGAGGATCTTCGCTGGACTGTGAGTTTTTAGCCCACTGGAACGCATTAACCGGGTTTTAATGCATTTCAATGGGTTTTTTATTTTCGCTTTAAGACGTTTTCGCTCTGCAGGGATTTCGCTGGAACGAAATGATGTCGTTAAGTGAGGCACCACTGAAATGGAGGAAAGCTCTTTCTTAAGGGTACAGTAACATTAGCAAACTTCACTTTGAAAAGAAGAGATGAAACTTTTCATCTTCTCAGATGTCTAACATCATAATCTAATGCTCCTGTCTGATCCTTTGTGGGGGGAGGGGTAGTTGACATCTAGATAAATGACTCCCATTTCTGAAGTCCATGCCTGCCTTACCAGCACCACTGCTGTTTGAAATCCTAGTACAAAAAGGGAAAAACAGGAATAGTAAAGAAAAATCAATTTACAAAAGCTCACCCCTACATTTCATCTGAATGAAGTCCAGCTGGTGAATCGACTGCAGCAAGGGGTCACTGTCCAAAGTCAGGTCAAACTCAGCAGATACTTTTGGTTCCAGAGCTCCTTTGACCCACTGCTCCTGAGACACTTGGACACGTTTAATCAAAGCATCTGAAATCTGGAACAAAAATATACAATCCCAAAACATACACAGAAAAGTTACAGGATCATCTGTTAAAAGTGATTGTGACCCCAAGAGTTGTGGTTGCTAGCCTTCAGGGAATCAGGTCCATGCTCCAGAGTCACCCTCTCAGTTTTTACTTTGGCCACCAAGTCCTTAGACTTCTACAATGAATCATCATGATTCCACTGGGTAGAATCACACATTATGAGAAAAAGATGGGGGGGGAATTAAACCCATGTAAATAAGTGGGCCCATTCAAAATCATTCTCAAATGAATCCACATCCTTTAATTTTCACCTACCGAAATGGGTGGAATGACTCATTCATTCCATATAACTGCACAGGACCTGCAGGTGTATCAGGAAAGATGTTAAGAAAAACATATACTTCATAACTGCAGTCCTTTGTACATCACCACTATCATGAGCAACAACGATGGGTTACTACAGAATTAAAAGACAACATACCTGCAAAAACCCAGAAGGGTCATTTTCTTTGATTACTTCCAGACAATATTCCATCAGCCCTGTTGACTGTCGTAGTTTCAGGGTGCAATGATTTATCTGGTCCCACACAACCTAGGGGAGGAAAGAAGGAAAAAACAACTGTATACAGTGCGTGAGATTCTCAACTTCCACTGAACTGAATAAATCATCTTGGAAGGAATAGGGGCAGGGAGTACCTAGAAGCTATATATGCTGCAGCTGCAGTTGAAGTGATGATGCTGATCTGCATTAGCTCCACTTCTAATTAGTCCCTTGTGTTTTGGAGATGCTGCAGAAAAGGGAGGGCAAAACCTTCTTCTCTTCCTCCTCCAGCACCCCTGATCTAGATGGCAACCCTGGCTGCAATTGCAATCTTTAGGGTTACTTTGCTCATTTCAATGTTATTAGTTTTGTTGTTCAATCTACTTTTAATCTCTTTTTTACTATTTTGTAATTTGTTTTTAACCTGTTTGGATTATGTATGTTAGCTGCCTTTCCTGCTGTTCTTTAATAGAAAGGGGAGTGTAAACATGATAAATCAATCGATTCTGATCAGCTGATGATTGGGAAGCAGGGAAAAAGTGGTTGGGGGATCCCATAGGCAGCAAGGCTGGACAAGAGGCTGGGATTACTCACCTCTGCTAAATTTGTAGACTGGGATGTGCCAGCAGCCTCCCCAAGCATGGGCAATGGCAAGGAACTCTGGGAATTGCCTCCATGGTGAGGAATGCTCCTTTGATGGCTGCTCCCAGCAATCCAAGCCATTACAGCCAGCAAGGAGAACAAACGCTGGGAGCTGCAGTGCAACAACACATGAAGAGCTATGCTTTGCACAGTCTTGCCCTAAACCTTTGAAATGTAGATAAGACACATCTACAGGGTAGTCAAGCATCAGCATTTGGTAAAGCCAGGCAGCTGCTCCTGGAGGGTTCAGCAGCCAAAACAATCCTTGAACTAGGTGCGAGTCATCATCTCTTCTCCATTGTTTAGGATGCCAACAAGGAGAGCGGATTCTGGAGGTATACAAGTAAAACACTATGCCTAGAAGAGGGATGGGCTGCCTCAGATTGATGAGGTGTGGAGAGGAGATTGTGGGTCTTTTGCTTTGGTTTTCTACAAAGTCTGCTCTGCACGGCAGACTTATTTTGAATCTCCATTTGTTCAAGTTACAGCCCTTCAACAGATGAAGTGTTCTTGAGGTTCCCCTTGAGGTTCCCCTTGACATTTTAGTCAGTCGTGTTCGACTCTAGGGGGCGGTACTCATCCCCGTTTCCAAGCCGTAGAGCCAGCGTTTGTCCAAAGACAGTTTCCGTTGTCATGTGGCCAGCGCGGCTATACACGGAACACTGTTTACCTTCCCACCGAGGTGGTACCTATTTATCTACTCGCATTTATACGCTTTCAAACTGCTAGGTTGGCGAGGAGCTGGGACAAAGCGACGGGAGCTCACTCCGTTGTGTGGATTCGATCTTATGACTACTGGTCTTCTGACCCTGCAGCACACAAAGGCTTCTGAGGGTTAGCCTGCAGCGCCACCACATCCCTCCACTAACCACACAGTCAAAACATAAAGATTTGGCCATTTATATTCAGAGGAACAGATGGGATTTTCGTGATGGGTAGGAAAATAAAGTGAAACAATCGCTCTAGTATGAATATTTGAAACAATGTTTTATTGATCATGCTAGTCTTCTTTTACTTGGGATAATTCCAAGAAAGGGTTTTCTTTCAGTATTGCTCCCTTGAAGCTTTCCTTTGGATAAAATGAGATGTTACGAGGAAAATATGAGTCCTAACCCCATGTTTCTTTTGCTAGGGAGATTTGCTCCAGAAGATCAGACAGTGTTAGAGGTATGGTTTCCCATACCTTTGTTCACCACTGATTGTCCCCTACAAAAGTCGTTTGAATTGCTTGCTTTCTAGGTGGCTCCTGAAATGGTCAATAATCTTGACTTGGTTAGCAGTGGAAACGAATGGTCATAAAGCATAAGGAAAATCTGCAAGCATCTCTTCTCAGCCACTAATCTCACTGGCAAATGGCTGCCATGGCTCTCACTAATTGTGAGTGTGAGAAATGTTTGTCAAGAGAATGCATCACTCTGCTCTTAAGCTAATCATTGTTGAGTTGTATTACTTAATGGATATGTCCCAAGAAAGTTAATATATGGATAGGTGGTGTCAAATGAGGTTTTCACTCACCTTTAGTTTGTGCTCCCGCTCCTTTGTAACTTTTGTGAGTAGTTTTGCCTTCTGACGAGTCAAAGCGTCAACCAGAGCATCGCACTGAGCAACTAGACAAGCTTCATAATCCAAGCCGTTTTCCTTGGGAAGGGGGGGGGCGAAAGAAACCTGCACTTATTTCTACAATAGAAAAGCCTGGCTCTCTCAAGGCATTGACAACATTTATTTTCTTGTTCTTTTTTGAAAGGGCTTGGCAGATCCCTAGCCTGAACTGATAAATTCAAACTTATCTAAAATGGTTGCATGATGAATCTTCCCTGGTCACCTGTTAAGTGGTCCTTCCTAAAATAATATTTTGAGTTTCAAATAAGGTCCAAGTGGGGATGGCTTGTAGGCTGTCCATGGTATCAAATCTAGTGATACTCTAGGCAAGAGTTGAGACAGCCTAGGAAGAGAGGAAAAAGCAGCCCAAAGCCAGATAGTCAGTGGCAGAAACAGCCTGCTAGCAGCTGAAAAGTGACATGCTTCTTCCACTAAGGCTCACCCCATACATACACCCACTGTCCATCTCTATCCATATTTCTATCTCTTCTTTTTTGCTCTAATGCTTGGCTTGAGGACAGAGGATGCAGTGGTGGCAGCAACAGAAATAGTTAGCAGCACCATAAGCGGCTGGTGCCACTGACTCTGTCTCAGTTATCTCTTCCTCCTCCTCCTCCTCTGACTGCAGCAGTTTACCTGTATCTGCTGTAAAATACCTGGCTTTGAAGAACGAGTCAATGGCACAAGCTGTCCAGAGGAGCATGGGCAGTGGTGTGTGGAGAAGCACAGTGCTTTCACCAACCCAGCGCTGCATCACCTTAAGTTACCACAGCATTGCATTTAATTGTTGTGCTAATCTATCAGGAAGAGATGCAAGTCTGGGAATAGTTCCTATAGCTGTTCCTCTTGCATCGAGCAGTGAGGCAGGGTGGGGAGAGAGAAATGTGGTTTGCACTTCACAGATGAATTAAGATGCATATAAGAGTATGGTTATTCTTGAGATTCCACACTTCTCCATGATTTGGTATGTAATTCTCAGCTCAAACATTCTAAGCAAAATGTAACTACAGTATTAGAGGACATTTTTGTAGGGTCTTTAACGTTGTTCTGCAGACTAAGCAATAATTGGACAGAACTGATATAAGACTGAATGCAGAGAAAACTTACATTGACTATTAATGAAATGTTGCATCCAACCCAAGCCTCATTACTCCATTAGCCTGCCGGCAGCCATCTGTATAACATGTGCTAAGAATGCACTCAACAACCCAGCATTCTAGCACATAAGGTTTAAACTACAGATTTTTAACATTCACACAGAGTGAAGACAATGTTTCTAACTTTTGTGGCTGGAAAATAGACAGCTGAAAGCTCTTCCTGGAGCTAGTTGCATGATTTTCTTTTTAATCCTGCCTGAATGTAGTATTCAAGTGAGTTAACTGAGTAACTTGAAGCAAATGGTGGAAACCACAGTAAGAGGTTTATGAATAACTCTTCCGTAAGGCAAACTGCATGGATCCAGTCATGAAAACGACACATTCATTCTATGGCATATTCACACTCAGATATTCTTATCCTGATGCCTCATCCTTTCATGGAAGTGATCCTGGACTCTTGAAGGCTACAGCATCTGGACACAAGCTTAGCAAATTCTACCAAGCTTCTAAGTCTTCAAGCAAGCAGACAGTGTCTGAAGTTCAAGAACTGTTGTAGACAGTTCACAACATGCTGAGCATCAGAAGATTGGCAACCAGATGGTGAATACTACCATCCCCTTGCAACAATATTCAAAGCCAAGCATCTATGGAGATGTTATTTGATTGATTGTTTTGCAGAGATAACTATTCAAACAAGTTTTTGAAAACAGAACAACAAGGAAATCCTTATAAACTAGCGGAGGGCAATCTCAGTTATATTTTTCAGGTCTGCCAGCAGCCTGAGGGCCATTTTCACAAGAAGGCAAGACTAAAAGGGAAGATTGTAGCCAAGAAGGATAATTTGCATATTTAATTTGATGATGATGATGATGATGATGATGATGATGATGATGATGATGATGATGATGATGATGATGATGATGATGATGATGATGATGATGATGATAGCAATGAGTTTTTGTTAACTGGAAGAATGTTTACTAAAAAAATATTACAACTGAAAAAAACCCTTCCCCCCCTCTAGTGGCCATTTTAAAAAAAACTAAAAATATGGCATTATGGGGAGCAGCTGCCTTGTCCATCCTCAAATATGGAAGAATAGACCTAGGCCTTCAGAGGGCACAATGAGGCTTTTTGAGTTTTTATTTTATTTTTTAAACCTTGTGGGCTAGGAGCTCCAAGGGGGCTAAGAGGTTGCAAAATATCTCTGGGGTGCTCCAAGTGGCTGAGAGGCCATTATGTTGCCCACCCGTTATATACCAAACTGATTTCTAGATTCCAAACAAACCCCCACTGATGTCAACAGGGCTTAGTTTTAATCAGTGTGCAGAGAATTGTGGCCTAAAAACAAGCCAGTTCTAATCTCATCAATTCTCTGAGAGCAAGTGTGGGCAACGTGCGATTCTGTAGATGGTGGGAGTCCTCCACAGCATTGCCAATACAGTCTAATAACACCTGTTGGGCCACGAGTGACTTATTCCTGCTCTCGAATTTTATTTGAGCTTTCAAAAAGTATGACCATTTGTTTTTTCCAGAGCATTTGGGCCACAACACCGTGAAGGACAGGGCATTGCCCAGTTACTGTGGTTTCCAGTACTTGTTTCAAGTTAACCAGGTAAACATTCCTACTAACATCAAAGAGAAAGCTATAGCGCATGATTAGTTTGCCAGCTGACTTAAAACCACGCAACACAAAATCAAGAACAGAATTCTGGAATTACTACCTGTATCTGCTGTAAAATATTTTTCAGCTGAACCAGAAATTCTTTTGCTTCTTTTGCTTTATCTGAGATACCATTCAAAGCCAGAGACAATTGAGCCTGCAAAGAAGAGGTCCAGTGTCAGACAAAATATAAAGTAATCTTCATCCTTTATAGTTATTGTCTAATATGCCTGTATTCTATAATTCCCCACCTCATATTTGCCAAAGCTTTGATTTTATATAAAGGAAAAAAGTTCTAGACCTATTACCTTTTCCTCCAGTATTCTTTTGGTGCTGTGGTTGCTATAACAGAGAAATCCTGAATTCTTACAGTGGGATGTTTGAGTTGGAGACCTAAGGCTGCAATCCTATGTACACTTATGTCAGAGATGGTTCCATTGAACACAGTAAGACGGGGTCTATCGCATATCCTTGAGCTGTTGGTCAGAATTCGTATTTTCGACAAAACTTTGCAAAGTGTTTAATTTTTCTTTTCTTTTTAGGATCTTTTGCAAATATTTGTCTGTGCTTATTTGTATTCTCATTATCAGAGCATAATATAAATGGGAAAGTTTGAAGCTAATCTACATGTTCCATGGAAGCACATGTACCTATAGACAGAAAAACCTTCAGCGTCCAAAACTGGTTTGGGAAGGAGCATTTAAAGTCCATTTGAATCCAGCAGAGGAAATCACTGCTGAGTTCGGGTGACTTGACCCAGAAGAGGGAAATAATGAGTGGGGAAAGTGGGTTAAGTACCTCACATGTCCCGCCACTTCTCTGCTGTCAGTCAACCAGTCCCAAGGCAGCAAAAACAAAGTAGTTTACAATGCTTTTATGGTACAGGCATTTACATATAAAATAACATGTCATTTTGCTCTGTATAGGTTCATCTCTGTTTAGCTAAACAGTTTGCAATGTGCATATTTTTATATTAAAGAAAAATATTCATAAATTGATTTTTCATGAACAAGAAAGGAACAAATAAAAACACAAGAAGATGGAAAGGGACAAAATATGCAGTCAAAGATAAAAAAAAGATGTAGAGATAGCTGTGATCTGGAAATTTCTTATTCAGAACATTATGAAAAAAGTTCATTTTTTCACCTAGTTCCTAGTCAGTTGTTCAAAATGAGATCACCTCTGATATGCCAACTTTGCTAAGATGACAGTGTCTTTTATTTAAAAGTCCAGCCCTTCACTGAGAAGGCAGTAGGTCTTTTCCGATAGTCTGTGTCAGCAGATGACAGAGACAGGAAGATTACTTCTAAAAAAGTAAATACCTACAGTTCTAAGGACTCTGTGCGTAACAGCACAGGGGTGATTGCTGCTGTTTTTAAAAAGCTATTCATGATCTTCTCATTTCTTAAAATACTCTTAAAACAATAACTGTTTTAAGAAACACTAGATGGTAGAAGCTCTTGGCCTGTGGTACAAAGCATGCTCTCCTCCTGCTCAGCTTGCCCTCACTGCAGTGCTCCTCCCAGAACAAGGCAGCAGGGCAGCACCACAAGCATTCAACATAGACAGTATGTGTGTGTTCTGTGCCATCAAGTCGGAACTGACTTATAGTGACCCTAACAGGGCTTTCAGCATAACTGAGATATTTAAGAAGTGGTTTTACCAGTTCTGCTCCCCCAATGAGTTTCCATGGCAGAGCAGGGATTTGAACTCTCTTCTCCAGAGTCTTAGCTCATCACTGTACACCACACTGGGAATTCTTCACCATATAGTGAGGTCGAATTCATATAATGATAGAACAGATTTTGAAGTTGTAGTGTGGCACAATTGGAATGAAGTTATCCCCTCATTAAGTTACAATCAGAATGTAATGTAGTTATATTTTAGTGACTGGAAAAAAAGGAATTCACTGCAATTTAACTAGCTATAACTAGTTATAGAGCACAGAGTGCTGTCCTCTGAAGATGCTGGCCACAGAGACTGGCAAAACATTAGGAAGAACCACCTTCAGAACACGGCCAAAGAGCCCGAAAAACCCACAGCCATATAACTAGTTACTTCAAGCTCTTGCAGATTCTTATATAAAATATCTAAAATAGAATGGCATGATGTCCTTATGCATATAAAAGACCACCAATACATACAAAGCACCTGGATGATACTTTCAGCACTGGATTTCTTTGCAACCTCATCCCCTGCCATAAGAAATATGCATAAATACTGGATAACCCACCCCACAACAGATCATTCACCAAATGGTAGGGCTGGACTAAGGAGGGAGTTAGTCTGGATACCATTCAGTTCAACAGATAGTGTCATTATCTGCTGACACATTTTGACCACTTCTGATCAATAATGGCCTAATTGTCTTAACATTTCTATTTGTTTTTAATTTTACCTATATTTCATATGCGTCCCTAATTTTAAATTGTGCAGCACTCTGATATGAATAAAGAGAGAGCAGATTTTTCAAGGACATGTTTCATGTCTCATCACTTTTAAAAAGGTAAAGGTTCCCCTTGACACTTTTACTTTGGTGCTATCTTCAGAAATTGAACAACAAAGAACCCTCTCACACATTTAAAATGAATATGTTTTATTTGTTTTAATAAGCTTTCTTGGACTGAAGATCACATCATCGGATAGCTTGCATCTGTTGAAGATTGCTGCAGTTCACAAAAGCTTATGTTGAAGAAAACTTATTAACCTGTAAGGTGCCACAAGCCTTTTTATTGTTTTTGCTTCAACAGATGAACATAACTATTGCACTCCATCCCAAAAATTACAGCAATTCTTAAGAATTAGTCACCCTACACTCTGTTTTTCCTATTGGAAGCCTTTTTAAAAATACAACCTTTTATTACAAATCCATAGATTGCCTGCTATAAAATAAATGGCCTCAGTGTTCTTAATTTATAGTTATGGATGCCCTATAAAGAGAAATAGGTACACACCCTTTGCATACCATTGTAAACATTCTCGCGCCTGGAAGTTCTTTCACAATAGACTAGAAGCATTTTCTTTGAAGCTAAACTGTCATGCTGTAAGTGCCTGTGATGAAAGCAATTAATAATTCTTGACTATTTTCCCAAGATTGTTCTTGATCACTTGGACCTGAATCTGTCAATGCATGACACACAAGGATGGCTTCTTTATCAATTCTACCAATAAGCATTGATTCCATATTCATTCCCACATGAGAGTTTGTTGTTTTTTTCTCTCCATGATAGCAGCAGCTGAATAATATTGATTTTCTTCCTGGCTTCACCTAATCTAGTAGCTTTATGCAGCTTACAAAATGCTGAGTCTGGTTGGTTTCAGGATTACCGGCTTTCTGAACTGACTTCCTAACTCCCATCCCAAACAGAATGGGGACTGGTTTTGCCAATGAACTGCTTTGCCAGATCAGAGGCAAATACATGGGTGCTTTGGTGTTCTTTTTCTAGCTGAACCCACCCAGATGCACCTTAGAAGGTAAAACTCATAAAGTGATGGTGGTGGTGGTTTTAATTACTGCAGATTGATTACTTCCAGGGAACAACCTTCTTCGTTGTGTCAAAATAACTTGGGTGGCTTTTAATGCTATTCATCTTGACTTGGGTTGATGTGACATTTGCTGCTCCTTTCTATATCCAATTGGGTACTGCAGCCATACCACAAAATACCTGTATTCTTGTTACAGATGATCCCAAGAAATTCTTGAACTCGCATTCAAAGTAATACTGTCTTAAAAGCTGAAGGGTCAATTTAAATGTCATTTAAAAATTCATTGGCACACTTGTCCTCCATAAATGGCTCTTATCCAGCCTTCCCCAACTTCATGCCCTACAGATTTGTGGAACCAGAACTCTAATCACACACCCGCAATCATGCCTAGTTCAACACAGCTCTAATCCCATTGGCTGTCGTCCACATTTTGTAGCGGTGTATTCTACAAATCAGAGCTTGGAAATGTTATGCTTGTTTGAAGTACTCCCATAATCCCCCACTGATGAGCCAATTAGGAGAGCTGTAGTCCTGATGCTAGCTTTTCCAAGCTCTGTTACCTACCACTAATACATTGTATGAAGAAGAGGTGGGCCTGGATAGCTCAGTGAGCTAAATTATCTGGAGTTTGAGTCCCCACTGTGCCTCCCAGAAGAAGAGCCAGCCTATGTAGCCTTAGGCAAGCTGCACAAGGTGTCCTCAGAAGAAGGGGAATGGCAAAATACTTCTGAGTACTTTACACCCAGAGAAACTTGGATGTAAGGGTTGCAATAAGTTAGAACTGACTTGACTGCAGATGATGCAGTTTCTTTTGTTTTACATGATTAGAGTTCTGGTTCCACAAATTTGTTTGACATGAATCTAGTGCCAAAAGCATTAGTCTTTCTAGAATTATTAGAGAGAGAAAATACATTTACCCAGTCTTTCCAGAGTGGCATGGAGTTGTGATACTATAATGAATTCTATGTTGTTATTGTGTGCCCTATCTCCACATATTTGTAGTCTTACAAAATGTTTTACTTTCCTTTTTTTATCGTAAACATTTTCTTATCTGTTCACTCAGGCCTTCCAATAATAGGAAATTGTTTTATGTGCTACTGTAATGTAATATCTCATATTCTCTGTGTATGTCATGATTACTGGGCTAGGAATTAAATGTGTACAGACGTTTTTGTTATATCTTTTTCTAACTATGAGTTTTCTACCAGTCATTACTGCTGATACAGAAACGATGTGGAATCTTAATACCTATATCTCATGTATGTTTTGTTTGTTTGTTTGTTTATATACCACTTATCTAGTGGCAATCAGCTATTCTGGTTGGTTCACAACTAGTAAAAGGACTCTCCACATCCCCAACCAAAGTGAATTTATTTATTTATTTATTTATTTATTTGATTTATATCCCGCTCATCTGGTAAATCTATACCACTCTGAGCGGCTAACAGGAACATGTATACAATTATAATAAAATAAATTAAAAATATCAATTAATAGAAAATGACAAAAATCATAAATAATCGTAAATAATAAATAGATAAAGAAGAGAAAAATAAATTAAGTTAGATTAGGTGCTGGCAGGAGGGAAGGCCTTGACATAGAGCCATGTTTTTAGTTGAGTTTTGAATGTACCCAGCGTAGGGGGAAACATGTAGTCCACATGAAAAAGAA